ATGCCAGATACCCTGCTTTGCAATTAATGAACATAATTTAGCAACCCTTTATGCAATACAATAACAACGCAAAAAGAGAAAACATGAACAAAAATGACTAATAGATCCATCAAGATCACAAAGGTAAAAGGATAAACTAGATCACAAACCCAAGCGCAGCCTAAATCCACAACCATATAAGTGTAAAAGCCCAAGGGTAGCCACCTTACCTTAGCCAAGTATCATAGCTTAACAGGGGCGGAAGGACTAACCAACCAAATGAACAATAGTATTATGTCTGCGTGGATACCAGATGCGTGCCGACAGCAGCCGACACAATCCCAACCACGAACGCCGCATCGACCGCAATGAATAAACAAAAAATAAAAAAATGATGAAAAAACACTTCCAGTAAAGTTTGGAATTTCGTTCAAAATATCCGGCTCCAGTCCACCCTTCCTTTCTTTCCTCCCTGTGCTGGTGAAATGCCTTAGGCAGGCAGGTAGGTAGGCAGATGTTATAGAGGAAAATGGGAAAAGTAATGCTGATCAATACACTTACACGAAGAGAATATGGCGGCCAAAGCGATGGGTAGAAGACGAAAAGGGAAAGAAAAAGAAAAGAAAAGGGAAGCCCAGCGATATGATAGTCGCGTTAGACCCGCTCATCCGCCAAGTCTCCCGTGCAAGTAAGAGGTGCCGGGTCTAGGAATTGAAGTAAAGGAGAGCAGAAGAAAAAACCTCAAATATTGCCTCCCGATATAAAAAAGCAAGGGCTAAATGAATAGACCAATAAACCTCAATGGAAAGAAAAGACATATATATACCGCCACCCATTGTACAATCCTTTACCTTCCCATCCCGACAGGCCCGCCACCCCTACCTCTCTGTCCACCCCTTCCACTCCCCGGTAGCATAAAGTCCGGATTCCCGCCTAGCACCTGACTCGCCGTCAACCCTCTTCTCCCTTGCTGATGTTGCTGCTGGGGAGGTGGTTGCCAGTTTGGATTGGGCGGTCTCTGCGAGATGCTGGTGAAGTTGCTGGAAAGGCTCATTGTGGGCGACCTCTGCCCATCCTGCAGATCCTCGAATGTTTGGTTAGAGGGGTTGCGATGGGCGTTTATTGGGAGGGGGGGTGGCGGAAAAGGGGGATTGTGGGCAGGGGAGGAAGAGGAAGAGGAATACCCTGGGGTTAGGGAGCGGGGATGATTGTGTGGAAGGGTGGTGTCAAAAGCGGGGACAACATCTTCGTAGTAGGAGCTTGCGGCGTTTGTCGAGGGTGTTGGGGGATAATTCGAGTGTGAAGTGGAGGATGGGCCGGCGGGGAGCTCTACTGGCGGAGGAGAAAGTGATTGTGGGGGAGGGGTGTTGTTGTGTCGTTGTTGCCAGGCTTGGCGGGGCGGTATGTATCTGTAGGGTTTGTCAGTCGGGAAGTGATAATTTGGGGGTAAAAAAAGAGAAATTACTCGTCCTGTGAGGTTGATCCTCCATTTTCGTTTACCACGGATAACCTTCCTGTGTGCGGAGGTTCTGAAGGGCGTTCATCCGTGTCTAATTCCACCGGCCCACCCGGTCCACTCGGTCTACCTCCAAGTTCATCTCTCCCTGTGCCCCCAACCACACCAGCTATTGGCAGTGTCTTTTCAAACTCCCTCCTCTCATCAATGATCTCATCCTCAGGGTAATCATACTGCCGTGGCCCAGGTGGAGGCATAGGGCCACCCCTTCCACCCATCATCATCGTTCCCGGAAGCGGTCCCCCCATTCCACCGTATGGAGCTTGCCCACCACGCACCCCTCCTTGGGGAGGGGGAGGGCTCATTACTCCACTATTCTGCAGTGGGCCCATGCCATATCCTGGACCTCCACCACCGTAAGCATTGCCGGGAGCTGGCCGGGGTCCAAGTTGACCCGGCGAAGGACCTCTCCTTGGCGGGGGAGCCAGCCCTCCCGCAGGAGGATACATGCCGGGCGGTGTTGGTCCCCTAAATCCACCCAGTGGCGGCCCCCGCTCTCCATATACATCCCCCCCATACCCCCTATCATACCCGCCCCTTTGTGGAGGTGGGGTTCCATACGGCCCCGGGCTTCCGCTAGTCCCTATTTGTAATGTTCCATTTGAGTATTGATTCCTTACTTGCCCTGGAGGCATAGGTCTAGACAAAGGCCCAGCACCTCTAGGTGGCGGCCCATATCCCACACTTCTGTCGCTCGGTTCCCTTGTCAATGTATTGCTCCTTGTAAACGACCCATCCGATGCAGTGCCTGGTATGGGTGGGGAAACAGTTCTAGATCTAGGGTTAAGCAGGATTCTCTCTCCCTCTGGTTCACCTGGTGCCGTCTTGTTCACCTCGAACGTTGCAAATTCGGGGGCTTTGTCGGGTTGCGTAGGGGCAGCAGCACGCTCTCGAGCAAGAGCCTGTGATGCGTAAAATTCTTGGCCGTTCATAGCAGCGTTATCTTCTATCCTCTTTCTTCTCGCCTCCTTTGACACAATGGTCCTACGCATCCCACACATTACTACTCCTGCCACCGCAATCAGAATGGTCGCACCCAAAACCACCCAACCACCCCATTGCACATGCGGAAGGAAGATCAATATATCAACCAAGAAGGCCAGGAGTGAAAGCAGGAAAGTTGGCAGCGAAAGTATGAGAAGTGCTAGCAGGTAACGAGGCGAGTGCGCGGGTGAGTGAAGGTGGGATATGACTGCAAGCACCAGTAATATTAGAGTGAAAAGTGCAGCAATAGGGTGAACAATCAGTAAGTTTGATAGTGAGTTGCGTGCATTGGATGGCAGGGAGAAGTCGGAATTAGCGGGTGAGAGCGAGCCTGTGATGAGATAAAGTTAGTTAACCACTCAGACAGAATGCAAAAACCAAAATGCGTGGGAGGGAGGTGAAGAGGAGAGAGACGGTGACAGGACCACCGCGCTCAATTGGTTTGTACGGCCAAATCAACAATGTCGCCGAGCAGTGCCGGAACCGCGCACGATCATGCTCCCACACCTACTATCTCCACCTCCCTCGGCCCCAACCTCTCCAGAGTAAAAACGTACCCATATCATAGCCAATCTTGACACCGCTACATTTGTTCGCGTCGCAAAAGCCGAAGACACCAAATGCAATATCCTTATAAGAGGCCAAGTGAATAGACGTAACGACAGGAGTGCTCAATACGCTCAGCAACAACAGTGCAAAGGCCGCGAACAGCAAGATACTAAGCGGAGTAGCCGGTCGCAAACGCATCTTGACTTTTTTTTTCTTTTTTTCTTCTTTTCGGATTTCTTTCCCGATCCACGATCAGGTACGGTGTAGCGAAGAAGGAAAAGAGAGAAAGAGCAAAAGAGCAAAAGAATGGAAAAGGTTGGTGGTGTGGGTTGGAGCGGGGGTTCAACCCGCACCGGTTGTTTGTGTGGCTCAGTTTGGGTATAGCTTCTTGTGGGGTGTACTGGGATAAAAATAATAAAGGAAAGGTGCCTCCCGCAAGTCAAAGATAGAAAGGAAAAGCTTGGAATGCAGCGCGCGTACCGAAGGGTGTAGTAATAGTGACGGAGTCTGCAAACGTTGACCAGTCGCGGATGGGATGAGGAAAGGGTTAAGGGGAAAAAACGAATGTCGACGAACAATGCTGGGTCGCCGGTAAAGGGGCGAAACTGGTGAGTAGCCTTTTCCCGTAAATGGGCAAACAAAAACGAAAAGGTTCCGGTCGATGAAATTCACCGTGACACTCGGAGAGCGGGCAAAGGAAAGGGGGAATAGAAACTGGTACAGTGCGAGTGACAAGTCCGGGAATACTTGCACCGAACCTGTACGTACTGTACTAGTACTCGAGTACCCGTGTGTGTAAGTGTGTCGATCTCCCTCACCTTTCCTTCCTTCCTTCAATCGTCTACCAGAGACACGAAGAGACACAAACTCATGGAGGTTTAAGTTGGACAATTTAGGGGAACGAGTGGTGGTGCGGAGGGTGGATGATGAGGGACCCGCACTTCGTTAACATCAAAAAAATGTAGACTATGCACGGCATGGAGCCCGCCCGGCGCAACCAGGGAGTGGGTTGTGCAGAGCTCACCCGCGCACACCCACACACACACGCACTCTCTCACTCTCACTCTCTCCCTGCAATAAAAGGGGTGCATGAAGTGAACAAGAAAGGCTTAAACTCGGCTTCAGAACGACACCTGGGAAAGAGAAAAATAGGTCAACTCTTCATCCAACGGCTTCTTCGCTACCAGTAACTGTGCATCCCTCTTCCTCCCCGGTTTTGCTCCAGGTTGGCTCCCCCCCCTTCCAGCAATTACTCGTACCGGTAGCCCACGGCAAGATCACTCATCTAAGCAGACTCAGACTCGCACTCCAAACCTTCCCCATTCCACCAAATTTGGTCTCCACTGCAAATTGCCCCAAACCCAGTTTCTATCCCGGGATCAACCCATCGCACTCTTCTGTTAGGACCTACCGGTACCGGTATGCCCACTCAACTACGGTAATACTAGTCTTGGTCGGATCCAGTCTCGCAAGCGATATGCACGGTGGAAAGTAACACAGTGTTGCCTATATACTCGCTTCCTCCTATTGGCCATCCATGTCCTTGTGCTGGCATGTACTGCTGCTCATACTGACATACAGAACGTCATACAGTGCTCATCTTAAAAATAGCCCAACTCCCTCGAAAAGCTTATTAGCCCAGCTTGTGTCTCAAGAAAAGGGGTTGACGCGACGGGTGGGCGATACCCGAAACCCCTCTCCCACCCATTCGTGTGGAGAAGTGACTGCGCCGGCTGGCTGGTGCCACTTATCATTGGTCTGTTGTCTGTTCAAATATAGCCTCAGACCAAACATCAAACAATGATACAAGTATTTATTAGCCACACTTTTTTTATGCCGCCGGAATGTCTCGCTTCATGATACCGCACCACCAACAACACTCGTGTACGGGTACGGTACGAGTACTGTACAAGTACGAGTATTGGTTCCCACCACCATGCGAAACCAACATATTGTCCTTCATCCATCCATCTATCCCCGCTTGAGGAGGAATGATATTAAAGAATCTAATCATGAAATATCATTCGAACTTGTAATTTGCTGATCATTCCTCATGCCAACACATGCCAAAGGTGGGAGCGATGCGGGGTTGGCGTTTTGGCCTGTGGATGCGGTGAGAACAAACACAGACTCTATGACGGTGCGCTGTCTGCGTCTCGGTGCCGTTACCACTACCGAATGCTGCCAGTATCCTATCGTACTCAAACACACTACCCCATCACCACACTTGCACTGCAGGATGCCTCCGCCATATTCTGGTTCCTGACCCTGCTACGATATCGGTATCGACGATTTCCTGTTGGCCGCAAGACAATACGAATTCTGGACTTTGTTCGGCAGCGCCAGGCCGAAAATAGAGTAGTTCCATCTCCATGAATAAAAATGCGGGAGAATTTTTTCTTGAGAAGGGGTTCGGAGGAGTGGGCAATTTTTTTTTCACAATTTCGCTAAGTCTTCGTGGAGCGGGGAGTCGTGGATATAATAACGACCGCTTGTCGGCGAGGGCTACAAAACCACATCGGAAGCCATGCACCGTGCGTTTGCTTCGCCATGTGCTGAGATGGATGCGATCACCGTGCGGCTATGCGGCGGTCGCACTACTCCGTTCCAGGTTAGAAAACATCCCCGGCGCCGCCGTGTTTGGGAACAATAGGGTTCCATGTCAGTCCATATGTTACTGTAGAATTTCCAAGTGGCTAAGGGTTTCGGCTCGAATTCCAATTGATGTTATCAAATGGATCCCCCTCGTACAGGTTCGAATTCTGTTTCTACGAGTAAATTAACGTTTATTTCTCTGCCTCTCCACACTGTGCCGTAATCCCATGTAGAAAAAAGTGTTTTAAAAAAAATACTTGGAAACAAGGATCAACAGGTGTCGCTGGTGGTACTGAACAAACCATAAGAGAGCTTTACCCCTACTAGCCAATCTAGATCTATCAACTACGGGTGAGCGGTGTCGGTATGAAGGCACGGCATTGAGAGTGGTTGGCAGTGACGATAATAGCAATAGTATGCGAAGCATGCCGCCGCGGGTGATGCGGCGGTCTGCGTGGGCAGGCCCGCGTAAGCGTTAGAATGTACATAATGTATGATACTCGAGTATACGGAGCGATCTCCTCCTTCTATCATATCATAGCTAGTTTGTCCATTCAGCTCGATGGTGTTCACCTTCTCTTCATCCCCCGTCTAAAACTATTTACCCCCAATTCTGAGCTCTCGATTCCAGATACTGGCACGGATGCTCTAACTCTGTAAAACGGATCCATCACATCCAGGTTAGTTCATCTTCCATCATTCGAAATCCGAATACAGGTACGAGTACTAGGATTACCGTAAATGCGGTTTGCGACACACCGGTGCTCGTTGAGTGGCAAATGTGTGACAGGGACGCCACCGCAACATTTTTTAGAAAAACCTTATCCTTATTGGAGTTGCCCGCCCATAGTATTATACTGTACCGGTGCCATGGCCCAAGCTTACAGTACTCGAGTAGATGCTCCGGTCTGAGATAAAAGGAAGCTTGCCATACTCGCACAGTAATAGTAATACTATGCGTGAAGCTTTGGATGAAGCCGGGGCTGGAATTAGGTAAGTTACGCCGAGCCGACCAAACCGCCGGTCTGGGGCTCTCCGAGGGAACCCCAACACTGGAAAATCGGAGCCACGTTGGGCTCCTGGTTGCCGCTATCCCTTAGCCTGTACGGTATTGGCGGAATCATAGTCGAGACTCGAAGCCGCCTTCTACTCGAGCACCTAAAGCCACTCATTCAAGTATGTATCATAAATTATCCGCAGATTCTCGGGGTCAGAAAATTTTACTGATAATTTGTTGGCAGGGTCACTTTCAAGCCTCGGGCCATGCCCCTTCAAGCCAAGTACCGGTATTCCTCTGGCTTTCGAGATATGATTCCGTGGGATTCGGCATACGAACAGAGGGACGGTGTGCAGGGGCTGCGCCCGACATCAGGTTCCATCGGTCTGGCTCGAGCACGGAGGTGGGTCCGATTGATTCGGCGATATGTGGAACCGTTTAATCTGTTCCCTATTCCTCGCAGTGATGGTTCTTGTTCCTCACGGGTGTCCTTGGGATTTGACTGCCAAGGTGGTCTTGGAGGGCTATGCGTCGCAGTGATTGATGCAAGCGAAATCCATGAATCCTCCCCCATTTGAATTCCCTTTCCAATGATTAGTGCCTCCTGATATATAGCCTCACATTGATTCACCACCATCCGGAAGAAAAGGCTATGACACCCCCTCACCGGGTATATTATATACTTGACTGCCTTACACTCCTTTTGTGCAATCCTCCCTGTACGGTACTCGAGTGGGAGAAGAGAAGCATTCACCATTGGATGCGGTAATATGTAGTGCCTTACAGATTAAATAGGGAGCCATTGTGCCGTATCGTTATTACCGAATCCGGAAAAAGGCCGATCTCGGTACCATGCACTCTGTGTTGTGCTCGTATTGGGGGTTCTGCTTGGTGAAGTTCTTCGAACTTGTGGTGCGCCTCTGCTTGTCTAAAGGGGAAGCTGGTCGGAGAAGCGACTCTTTCGCCATCGATTGTGGTTCGTACACATGATTCGCAGGCCGTGGCATGGCTTGGGGGTAAAGCTAGAAGTGAAATTCTGGGTCGTATCATACTTGAAGCGTCTAACAGATGGTGGCCAGACAGACCCCATCGTGGACAGGGCTCTTTTCTGCTCTCCCGGAATTAATATATAATATTATATAGTGCTTTATTCCTTTTTGCTGCCCTCCCATCTTTCTCCCTCTTTGATGCTTTTTGGCCAGGAGAGGAAGAAGAAACATTCGTTATTTTCTGTCATCCGACCCAACCGTTTCTAACAAAATGTACCTTCGGGAAGCCAGATTATCGGACATGGTAGCGGTGGGCAAGATTGGTGCGAGGGCTTTTGTCGATGATCCTTTATTCGCTATTCTGGAGCCCGGGAGACATACCTATTACGAAGATTACGAGGCAGGCTGGATCCGGCGAATGCGCCAAAAGGTCTTAAAACCGGAGGCGAGAATAGTTCTCGCGGTGGACGAAGGGACAAAGGATATAGCAGGATATGCAGTATGGGTGCGGAAGGGACACGATCCAGCAGCGGATCGGTGGAGGAATGAAGGCGGTATACTGAAACGTATGATTACTATCTTGAGAAGAAGAAAAAAGGCTATCCTATCCTACCCAC